GCCCTCCAGGTGGGGTCTCCCAAGAGCAGAGTACAGGCGCAGAATCATCTCCCTTTCCCGCATCGCGCCAGCTCGCTGGGGGTGTCAAAGCCCTGCGGCCGACTTTAGGGCACGAGCTCGGAGAAGCCCTCACTGATGGCGGCTTTCCCCGGAGGATTAGATCCACCCAATTACCTCCCTGTAAGCCAAAGCATTCGTGGCTTGACCCTGCTTAACAAAACCATCGGGTTTGTCGAGGGAAAACAGCATGTCTCGGGACGTGCTGACCGCAGAGGGCATGTGCTGAGAGTGCTGCCTTCCACTGTGTCTGCCGGGGGATTAATCAGGACTCACCGCTGACACGAACGAGTTGCAAAACGCTGAGATCCTCACCGACTCACGCGAGGCAACGTGCTGGCTCCTGGGGTGAAGGGGGTGACTCTCGCGCAGCAGGGCTACAGGTCTCTCGCAGGTTTGCAAACCGTAACGTGTACGTGTGTCACACGTCGGGCGGCGATGTTGCCATCCCTATACATAACCAAAGCTTGGCCGGAACAGGAGGCGTGTTTCTGCCTTCTCTAAACGCCGGGGAACGCAATAAAATGGGGCACAAGCCTCGGTGTCAAAGCCAAGAGAAGCCTTGCGTTTCCCGAAGCCAACCTACCTTTGCCTTCTCCGTAATTAATGAGGGGCTCTATGTGGCCCTAACTCACTCACTTCTTAACGCCAGACTGAAGTAAGTAATTACTGTAGCTGAAATGACTTCATTAAGCAAAAAGACGTTTTACAAAATATATTAGAGCTTCAAATAAGCTGATTTACTAGTGTCCTTTTATAAAATAGCCACAGAGAGGCGCTTGCTGTAATTATGGGGATCACAAGTATTAATTTTATTTCTAGGAATTCTTGCTGGTGCCATTCACACCCTGCATCTCAAGCTAAACTGCAAAAAAGACCAGTGCTGACAAAACAGGGAGCATGTGGTTTCAAGGTCTCCGAAGCCGGAGCGCCGGGAACGCTGCCTGCAATGAGCTGAGCTGGTGCTGGGGCCACCGTGACCAGCCAGCCCCCCCCGCACCTTGGGAGAGCAGCTGGGGGTTCATGGGGAGATCGCCCAGCAAACAGAGCTACTTGGGAGCCCGTTGAGCCCTCTGCTCCGTCGGCTTTCTGTGCGTACGTTGTTCTGAAACGCCGGCCGTCTGGCCTTAGCCCGGCGCTCAAACGTGCTTGTAATGGAAAGGTGGAGCGTGGCTGCGTCGGGGCTGTGGACACGGGTCTGGCGGCGAGGACACAGAAAGCCTTTGCCTCGCTGGGCCGTTCCCGTCGCATGGGAATGCCTCTGGAATTGCCATGCACACAGCAAATGGCACTTTAGCTATGAATCGAGTGAAACCCCCCGGTGTGAGTGCCGAGGGGACTGGTGCCATGCTGCCGAGAAGCGCAGATCCCCGTTTCAGGTGCTGAAATACCCTGTCATCCTATTTCTCATTGAAATACCCCCTGGGCAAAGGCTGCTTTGTGGTGACCAACAGCTACATCTCTGGGAACACCTACGTTACTCGGTCCGACACTGCGGGGACAGCGCCTTTGCCGGGAGGTGCAGTTACTCAGAAGAGCGTGTCCTCTAACCGAGCGAAGGCAAGCTCGTCAACCTTTGGGGGGTAACCTTCCCTCTAGAGCAGGGTGTCCCTGCCCATGGCAGGGGGTGGGACTGGGTGGGCTTTAAGGTCCTTTCCAACCCAGACCTTCCTGTGATTCCATGAATAAAGGGAGATACATAAAGGTTCAGGAACTGCCCTGGGAATGCATGCTGGGTATGATCATCCCCAGACCTGGAAGCAGTTTTCTTTGCTGTCAGTGTCTTTGGAGATCTCCTCGGAGTGTTTCGGTCCCGGGAGCAGACTGTCAGCCAGCCCCCATCGACAGCACCATGGGTGAGCAGCTGAGCGGAGGGGCTGCCATCACTGCTCGCCCTGGGCACTTGCACCCCTCACTGGTGCCCCTCATCCTGCGGGGAAGTCCTGGGGGTTTATCTGCTGGCACCAGTGCCGGAGGGGGCCTGGAGACCGTTTGATTTCCAAAAGGGAGCTCCTATGGAGCTGGGGAGCAGCAGAACACTACACTCCAAAGAAAACCCGCCCAGCTCGTGTCACCCAGCCCGTGTCACCCAGCCCCTGGAAGCTTGGAGTGCTGTTACCTTATGGAATGTCAGGCAGTCCTTGTTTTCAGTCTTATCCCTGCTCCTCAGGTCCAAGCTGTAGAGCGCTCGGCCAAGGGGTGGAGGCAGGGGCAGGTGCTTGATGACTTGCACGGAGCTGGCTGGGAAAACGCCGCTGATCCCGTTGACCTCCCCCAGGTACCAGTTCTCATCCAGCTGTCGGAGCAGCACGATGATGTCCCCCTTGTTGAACCTCAGCTCCCCAGGGTTGTGCCCCCGGTAGGTGTACAGGGCCTTGGCTCGCGGGACCTGTGGGAGGAGAAGGAACCCTTGCAGTTCATCCCTGACAGCAAGGCTTAACGCAGACAAAATTCCCCCAAAGCATGTGTAATTACTGGGAAAAACGTAGAGGTCTGAGGCTTAAGCATGCATTTATTGGAATTAACTACCCACATCCCTTCTTGATGTCTTTTCCTAATGAAGACAAACTCCAAAATACTTATGCTAAGTTTGTATCGGGGTGAAAAGCAGGCTGAACTTGTTTAAGAATATGAAGAAACAATTAATGCCTTAAACTAGTCTTCCCATGGGATCTCAGTGCCTGCTATAACGTCTTCTCTAACACAAAGTCTATTTTCACGGTTCCAGGTATTTCGGAACGACGGGAGATCGCAGTCATTGTCCAGCTGACCTGGGGGCTGTTGCCTGCAGTGGCCAACTGGTCCAGGAGGACACAACAGGAGCAAGGTGAGCGCAGGCTGCTGCTCTGCTCTGGTCATCTCCCTGCTTTAACACTGCGGGACCGGGATGTTATTTGTCTTTAATCCGGGTTACAGGAAGAGAGGCTTTCTTAATGTTCTTCTTGTTGCAGTACAATATGAGAAAGAAGCCAGAAGAGATGAGGGAATTTTACCATCCTGACTCTCATCAAAATGAAACTACAAAGTTCATGTAGAATAACTGCCTTCCCGACCCTTCGCTGTACTAGAAACCCCAATTTAATACACGATGCAACAGATCATTTGGACGGCTCAATAAACCCAGAGCCGGCCCCGGCGCCATGAACCTGCGTGGGGCAGCCTGGGGGCAGCCTGGGGGCAGCCTGGGGGGTGTTCCTCTGGGAGGGAGCGCAGATCCACCGATGCTTTCTGTGCTGTGCAGCTGTTCCACATGTGCATCTGGGGGGTGCTGCATGTCAGAAATCAGCAGGACTGAAAGGCCTGGTCTTTAAATACTGTGTTAAAGATGTGTGTGATGGAGATGCCTTGAGCACATTTGTTGGACCAGAGCACTGTGTCCCACCCAAGTGCATCCTAAAACGAGCATGCGAGCCGTGTTCGTTCTGTTGTTGCCGTTCACAACGTCACAGCGTGTGTGCCGTGCAAAACAGAAATTACACTCAGCGGGGGAGTCCTGGGCAGCTCTAAGAGGTGCCGATGCCTGGGACAGCCTGGGACAGCCCGGGACAGCCCGGGACAAGAGGCTTTGCAGCTTGCTGCTGTGCCAGCCTCTGATCACCCTTTCCCACTTCCTAGGGTCTGTAATGCTGTGTGGTAACAGCAGGAAAAGACTTTGCAGCTGGCAGAGGAGCTCTGTCTATGGCTGACTGCTTCAAACCCCGCACAGCTTCAGCTCTGATCCACCAGCTGGGAAGTATGGACTACTGCCGGGATCAGGATCCCAGCCCAGGAGAGTGCAGGTACGCAGGGAAGCATCCTGGGGCACTGGGAGTTAGGGCTGCTGGCTCTGCATCTCCCATGGCCAAAATGTGGAGGTTTGTTGGTGACCGAGTGCTGTGGCCTTGTGAGTACCCTGCGCTGCAGCTTTCCCAAGGCACTGTCACCAAACACCCCGACCTCACGGGAGACGGCACTGTCCTACCCATGACCCGTTCAGGCTCTGCCTGCCTTTTCCTGGGGAAGGAGATAACCCCATTTCCCCAAAGCCACCCGTGCCCAGGGCTCAGGCAGGATTTCTGCAGACTTCACCCCCATGAGCCTTTGGGGGTTGGGAAGATGGAAGAGAGAAACACCACGTTGTTTTTTGCTGAGGTGTGGAAAAGACCAAATTTTCCATGGAGATGACAGGTTTGGGGAAGAGAACATCTCCCAGCACTCCCAGACACTGAGGTTTGGTAGGAAAAAGGAACCAAGAATAGAAAAGCTTAATATACTGTGTTTACTTCGAAGAGGAAGCAATTAGTTTTGTGTTTGGTTCTAATTAACTCATTCTGCCTGTTCATTTGTGCAAACACATGCCCTTGGCTTGGTGACACGGAGACGACACTGCTGGGAAAAAAGGATGTGTCGGAAGGGAGGCTCAGGCCAGTTTTGCTCTGCATCAGCCCCCTGGCTCGTAGGAGGCTGGGGACCAGGACAGTCCCAGGGCCGCAGGGACCCACGCAGGAAAACGGACTGTGGGAATAGGGGACCAGTTCTCCTTCAGGAAGGGTCAGCCACAGGCTCCCTGGTGTCAGTCGAGGACAGGAGGAGACCTGGGGTCTCCTCAGGAGGGGCCAGAAGCCAACAGGACTCGGTGAGGTGCAGAAGCGGGGCTGGCAGAGGAGCGCATAGGGACGGGGGTGACGGGAACGGTGGCGCCGCAAAAGGATGCGAAACATAAAAGGCACCAGAACGAGTTACGGAAACGTATTAAACGTGTTGTCATGGAATTACTCCAGTGCTGGTGGTCCTTTGATCTGTAGCACTTATTCCCTGCTAAAGCCCTGTACTCCCGGGAAGGGCTCTGCGCTCCCGGGACGCGGGCTGGGGAAGGAGGGAAGCCAGGAGCATCCAGCCCGGCAGCAGGCTCAGTGTCCCGGGAGGGGACGAGGGCAAGGAGAGTGGTCCTTGTTTTCCAGAAGCCTCAACCAAAGCCAACTCCAAATTAAGGGCTCCAAAGGGATGGGCGACGCTCCAAAGGGAGGTTGGGCTGGGTGTGCGTTGTGTAACACGGAAAGGTTGGAATCGGCGCGTGGTGACTGACGTTTTCAGAGTCTGTGCTCTCTGCAACCGCCAAAATACTTTTTCTAGTATGTTAATGCTCTGTTAACAGCAAAAATCAATGTAATTTGAAAAAAGGGAAGGATCAAGAGAAGCCAAAGCAATACAAAGCAGTTTTTTTGTGGAACCAACTGAAATTAAATTGAAATTCAGTTTTTCAAGATCTTCATTAAAAAAAAAAAAAAAATCAGTCCAGCAGTTTTGTAAGGCCCAAATCAGTTCTGCCTTTGTTGCCTTTTTGGTTTTAAATTTTGCTTGCCTGTTCAGATAGTGAGCCGAAACCATCCCATTGATTTCCCAACTTTCTCTGGGGCATAACCCAAGCCTTCATCTACCCACACGGAGCTGCCAATGTGGTTTTTGCTGTGCAGGCACTTCCCTGCTTGGCAGGGCTTTCGCGGGGTAAATCTGCGAGCTGGAGCTTTCGGGGATACACATCAGGGTCACCGGTTTTAGCGTGCTCATAGGGCGTAGGAAAGACAGGGAAAAGCAAGTAAAGCAGCAGCAAACGACCCCACTGAGGCTGGGGAAGCTGGCAGAAATGCCCTCCGGGCAGCTGATCCCAGCGCTTATCGCTCCTCATGGGACTAAACACAGGGAGCTGCAGCCGTATCTCCCATCCCACTTATTTCTTGGGCTCGGGTGGGTTTCTGTCCGCTCTCGGATGTACCAGGCCCTCTGCAAGGCATCTGCTTCGCTTTATTTAAAGTAGGTTAATTGCACTAGCAGAAACTGGAGTGCTAATTAAACCTGGCGGTAAAGACAAGGTGTGCCTGGAGGTAGCTCGCTCCGGGCAGAGGGAGCGGCTTTTCCCAGGGAAGGATGCGGTCCTGGGGTGAGCAGGGACCAGGGTCCGGGAAGGGCAGCAGGAACAGAAAGATGCCGTCAGGGCTCCCCAGCCAGAGCCGCTCTGCTGTGATTCCGTTTGTTCTGACGGATTTTTCTCCCCATACCATGTCCAGTTGCTGTTAATCCAAGGCAGCATTTCATCTACCCACAACCCATCATCTGCCCATCAACCTGTAGATGCGGCATCCGGGGAAGCTGTGGATGCCCCATCCCTGTAAGTGTCCAAGGCCAGGCTGGATGAGGCTTGGAGCAACCTGGTCTAGTGGAAGGTGTCCCTGCCCATGGCAGGGGGTGGCACTGGCGGGGCTTTGAGGTCCCTTCCCACCCAACCCGTTCTGGGATTATACGATTCCATGATTCATTTTAGTGGGGTGGCATTACATGTTCAGCACAAGATTGCAAGTATCGGCACACTCCCTGGCTGCATCTGCCTTTAAATCCAGTTGGACAAACACCGTGAGGAGCTCTGTGAGAAGCTCAACAGGGCGGTTTAAGTTGGGGCAGAGTGTCTGCTGCCCAGTAACCGGGAGGCAGCAGCGACAAAGCAGCAGCACCACTGGTGGGCAGAAAAGGCTTTTCCCTGAGCGGCTGTGCAATGCAGCAGCAGTAGAGCTAAATCGGAGAAACGAGAGGTGGTTCTTTCATGCTCTCCTCTGAGAGCCTCTGAAGTTAGTGGGAAGCGGAGTGGGAAAAAGGAACAGCACAGTGCACAGAGCCACCCACTGACACTTTTCAGGCCATCGAGCGGAGACCAGTGGGATGTTTTGCCAAGGACTTTGGCCGAGGACCGGCAGAGCTCAGGACCCAAACCCGTGTGGGTTTCAGCGTGAGGAGATGCTTTTTTTCTGCCTGCGATGCCTTTGCTGCAGGGAGCCTTGTCTCTCCCGAGAAGCCTCTCCCTCTCGGTTTTCTACTCCACCAGACGCCTTGGCCCTGTTCTTAGCGGATACGGAGCCGAGAGGGGAGGAAGGATTATATTCTTTTAAAGCTGTTTTTGGCCTTTGGCATCAGCTGTGCCGGGGCAGCCATCCAACACAGCTGAGCCTCCCTCCCTACAAAACAAACAGCGAAGTAAAAATCCGAACGTGTGCATGAGGAAGCAACTCGAAGCACCTCTGCGTAGCTGGGAGAAACGCTCACTGTAATTATCTCAAATGAGCTAGTTAGAACTTCCTCATTACTGGCAGTGGATTAATGTAAGACCACACTCTCGCAGCACCAGAATTTAAAAAACAACCCAAGAGAGAAGAAAAAGAAGTGTGTGAGGCTGGTGGGGGGTCACCAGGGAGAGGCATCATCAGTTGTCTAGAAAAGGGGGGGCAGCCCAGCCGGGGGGCGCAGCGAAGAGGCCACATTTCTGCTGGAGGCTGGGGACACCTTAAACCTTGCCCCAGGAGACTCTGTTTAAACCCACCCTGCGGAGCAGCACGGCCCCATGGTGACACTGTCTCCGCACAC